TAGGGGTTGCCACATGAGCAGCCCCGCCCTGGGGCAGGAGAGGCGACTAGCCAGGAGACCTGGGGTTGAACTCAGGGCAGTACCATAGTTGCTGGGCAGACCCAGCATTAAAGTTAGTGCTGGGTCGTGTCCGCACATGTGTTACTGTGCTTTAATTAATCAGAACAAAATTTGATACCTACATTTGCAGGTATCAAATTTAGGCATAATTAGACATTTTTGCTGTGCAGTAAAGGTGTGCACATGTAAACGCACACCTGTACTGCACAGTAAATTAGGCTAAGGGGCATTAACACATCTTGTGTAGATGTGCCTTATATGTGGAATATATAGACGCATAGGCCATGTCAGACAAGCATGGACATTTGTTTCCCTGGGGACAGGAAGCAGTGGCACATGTTGTGCTGCCTCTACTTCTCCCCAGGGAACACCTGTGCCACATGGATTCTGGTGCATGACAGGTTACCCCGAGGGGGAAAGGGAGGCTGGGACCAGCAGCCTTATAGGGGTTCTGGGGGCCAAGGAAGCTGCAGCTGCAGCTGGGAGCCTGCTGGCAACTGAATGGGGCTCCAGCTGGCCAGGCTCCAGTTTTGGGTGGTGCATGCTACCACTACATGTACCACCCTGCTTTTTTTCTGTGTCGGATTTTTTGACCTCTCAGGGTCAAAAAACAAGCCCATGTTGCAAGGTAGCAGCACAGAAAACACCTGAATGTTCAGTGTTCATACCTCACAGCTGCACTCATCTGGATGCAGCCATACGGCAAGTGCATATGCTGGATGGAGCCATATGTTTACTATATTTGTGCCACTGCTTTTTTTCCCGGGGCACGTCCCTGCACATGAGCTGCAGCATGCAGGAAATTGACCTGGGTGGGACAGAAGAGGCTGGGGTCAACACCTCTGCTGGCCATAGCAGCTTTACCTAGGATCCTGGGGCGGCAGCAGTGCTGATCTAGCCACATGGAGCCTGGCTGGCAGCCACAGTGGGGCTCTGGATGGCCAGGCTCTGTTTTTGGTGGTGCGCACTGCTGCCATGTGCATTGCGCTGCTTTTTTTAGCAGCGTTTTGTTTTTTGACACTGGAATCTCCTGGTGTCAAATTTTGGTGGTCTACAGAAATTAGTAATGCAGCAAACAGGTTTATGTGCACTGCATGCAGTTTGCAACACCTCAAACAGCTTGCGGCACTGCTAACTGCGTGTGTGCACTCCTTTGGACATGCCCATTAAGGGTTTTTCCTTCTTTCTATGTTATAAAAGATTGATTGATTTATTATGAACTTGTAGGACCAAATTCATTCCTGGTGCAAATGGGTGTTATTCTTTTGATTTGAGTGGAGCTTTACTCATTTACTTCAGAAGGGAAGGAAGGCCTATGCATGTTTCTTCAGCATTTTGAAGTATTTTAATTAAGTTTGGATTTTAGGAGACATTTTTCTGCCTACCAATATCAATTTTATTTCTTGTACATGTTTACACCACTTACACATAACTCCTACTGTCTCCATTTTAGGCTTTTATGTAACACTTCTGTTTCTAGGGGTATCACCATTTATTGACCAGTGGATTAATAGTTCTAGTCTGCACTCAAAATCCCTTTGACTGCTTGTCTAGGTAAGAAGGACCACCTTTTTTAGTCTTTGGGAGCAGGGACCAGTGCTAAAAGTGACGTAGACAGGGTTCAGAAAAGGAAAAGTCAAAGGAAAGAGGAGGAGCCAAGCTGATAGTATTTCTGGAAGGCAGGGATGAAGAAAGGAGAATAGGTATTAGGTGGCAGGAAGTAAAGAGGGGGTGGCATCACTGGCAGTGCCGTACACATTCTTCTCTGCCTTCATTTTACAGGAACAGGTATGTCCTTTTTTCTTGCATCTTGCTGTAATTTAAAAGGAAAATAGCACTTACTGCTAACCAATAGCTGCCCTTCTATGGGTTTCACACAGTGCATGAGATCAGTACTAGGTGACCCAACGCCAATACAGTAATTGGGACAATTCTACTGTTATGAATGAAGTAATGAAACAACAGACCAATAGTAAAACAAATGGAATTTTTCCCTTCCTAGTGGGTGTGTCTACATGAGACACTTACTACGTATTGGCCAAGTAACACTGTGCAGTAGCGTGTCACAGCAAAAACAATACTAATAGCCTACTGAGCAGCGTTATTAGGCTAATGCGCAGTAAGTGTCACTAAGCAGGGACCAGACCTGTCACCCCCCCTCTAGGCCCCCCTTAGATCCCAGGGGAGGCGCACCTAGGCCAA